TATTATAGTTTTGGGTACAAAACCAACCATAAGAAGCAATGGCAATAATGCCATAGAGTAGACCCGGGAGCCGCATATTGGTACCTTTTCACAAAACGTTCCTGGAAATGTACATAGGGAGATATCTCAGAGAAGGCATTCTAACATGGGCAGACGATCCTACCTATATACGGATCCAAGAAGAGCATTGGCATTAAAAATGTCGTGATGAGTGTCGGATGAATCAAACCAATCTATTCGGCGGGAAATAGAGAAGTATGCATTTTTGGGAGACAAAAGGAAGGAGCCAAGATTTCTCCAGTTTTTGAAGGATAGGCAGGCCATTATCCGTTTGGTCGTTTGAGCAATATTTCTTACTATTGTAAATTATACGGATGGTCTTCCCGGAGAACGTGATACACGAAGGATGGAATTTCATTAAATCCCAATATATTTTGATATAAGTCGGCAGCGTACAGACTTTCTGCCGGTGTTCATCCTGTTCATCACATACTTTCGAAGTGACCACGAGGTACTCTGCCGGCAAAACTGTGGGGAACGAGGCTTGACATCTTATAACTTGTGATATTTTCAAGGGAATTTCGACTTCATTGCCACAAGTGAAGAGAAGGATTGCAGTAGACTGACGTGCCAAGCAAATATCAAATTATCCGTTTGGTGCGCTGCATGTTGCCGAATGCTGGGGCATGAAACAACCATAACATATTTTGTACCACTCAGATCATCCCAAATACATGGTTCGAGAAGTATACATATATGATATATAATGGTGAGGTGCAGGTTGACCGTCTAGATGAGACTTCAAATAAGCATCCATGTGAATGAAGGCACTGTGCAGATTATATGTGTATGAAATGTTGCTTTATGAGAGAAACAGAAACCAGACCTTGAGCGTAGCGAGCCATGGGAGTTTGGGAGCTTGTCCCCATGAATAGAAATGAAACAAACAATTGGAATGACGCTCCGCTAGCCCTCCGGGAGCCACTGCCGTGGAGGCAGAATAATTGGAAGATGTGACATCGTTTGGATTTGAAAATGTACCTACTCTGCTACAGTGTTGTATGAGAAAACTATCGCAGAATTCCTCTATGAAAAGCGGCAAAAACTAATTCCGGTGTTTGATAAAACCACTTGGGTATTCTCCTTGTTGAATAGGTCCATTTTGAAAGCGACTACAGCTCGATGCTTCAGATCCAGATGCTGGCTATCATGATGTCGATATTCGGAAGCTTACAAATATCAAGACAAAGTATGATGTTGGTGATATCAAGAGGCGAAACGGTCTTGTTGATGTTACTCGATCATACCTTGGGGAACTTCTCCACTTCAGGTGAGGGTCTTGCCGGTTTTTCCTTACCCCATTCCCGAATACGAAATCTACCCACGCAAAGGCCAAAACCATATCGATCTTTTGTATGGAAATTGATAACAATTCAACAATTCAATATTTTTGGTTAAAAACATGATGGGACGATTCTTTTCCTCTTGGTGTATAAGTAAGGGTGATCTTGAAGGTATCGGACTCTTCACAGAATTATAATAACTGATTCAATCAAAGGGCTTCTGAATAACGTTGCAGTTTTGCTAATTCTGGTGGACATTTTTTTCCGGCTTTCGGCTACTTGAGGTCGGAACGTTCAATGAGAATAATTGGAAATAGGTTTCTCTGATTGGTTCGATTGATTGAAATTCCTGACTAAGTGAGCATCGAGCCATCATCGTTATGGATTAATCCCGAATTTGAAGATTTGGAAACGCCCTTGGACTAACCTGAGTTGCCTCCATTGCCGTTCTCTAAAAAGGTCCATAATAGAGAAAGATATTAATTCTGGTGTTGCACACTCTTCTCCCCTCTTCTTTCTATCCATAATAATTCTACACAATGTCTTCATTTGCTATGCGTAGATTCACATCTGGTCCTTCGGTATGTTCCATTCTCTAACCTCGGGCCCCGCGTTCGTGGTAAGAACAGAAGAAGACAAGAAGAATAACAATGCTAATCTGCTGGCCATGATTGTAGTTCTCGAGGGCATTGAAGAATCAAACTAGATCTTTCTCATCGACGAGACCTGCAGGTAAATCTGCCACAACTTTCAACATTCAGACCATTGGCTAATATCTAATCTGCAGCTCGAATCATTACACATGCGCCACTAAGAGCAAAGGAAGCTTCGCCTTTCGTGAGCAATAAATACCCGGTCGTTGTACGTATCTCGAATTCTTAGTGAAGGGTTGTGTCTGATTATTTGGGGTAGGATCACGAATATGATGCTATTGTCATCGGTGCTGGAGGAGCAGGTTTAAGAGCAGCATTCGGTCTTGCCGAGGCTGGCTTCAACACTGCATGCATATCAAAGCTCTTCCCAACTCGATCACATACGGTAGCCGCGCAAGGAGGTATCAATGCTGCTCTGGGTAACATGCACGAGGACGATTGGAGATGGCACATGTACGATACCGTCAAGGGTTCAGATTGGTTGGGAGATCAAGATGCTATTCATTACATGACAAGAGAAGCGCCAGCATCTGTCATTGAGTTGGAGAACTACGGTTGCCCATTCTCAAGAACTGATGACGGCAAGATGTAAGAATGATTCTGGTAGCTCATTTGTGGTATTTTACTAACAATGTCTATCTAGTTATCAACGTGCTTTCGGTGGTCAATCACAAAAATTCGGAAAGGGCGGACAAGCATACAGATGTTGTGCAGCTGCTGACAGAACTGGACATGCACTTCTCCACACTCTCTACGGTCAATCCTTGAGGCATAACACCAACTACTTCATCGAATACTTCGCGCTCGACTTGATTATGGAGGATGGAGAATGTAAGGGTGTTATTGCATACAACCAAGAAGATGGTACCCTCCACAGATTCCGCGCACACAACACTGTCTTGGCCACAGGTGGTTACGGACGTGCCTACTTCAGTTGTACATCCGCACACACTTGTACTGGTGATGGAATGGCTATGGTTGCTCGTGCCGGATTACCTAACCAGGATCTTGAATTCGTTCAATTCCATCCTACTGGTATTTATGGCGCTGGTTGCTTGATTACTGAGGGTGCTCGTGGTGAGGGTGGATATCTCCTTAACTCTCAGGGTGAAAGATTTATGGAACGTTACGCACCAACCGCCAAGGATTTGGCTTCCCGTGACGTTGTTTCTAGATCAATGACCATGGAAATCAGAGAGGGACGTGGTGTTGGTCCAGAAAAGGATCACATCTATCTCCAACTCAGTCATCTTCCACCTGATGTTCTCCACGAACGTCTCCCAGGTATCTCTGAGACTGCATCCATTTTCTCCGGTGTTGATGTTACAAAGCAACCTATCCCAGTTCTTCCAACAGTCCATTACAACATGGGTGGTATCCCAACCAAGTACACTGGTGAGGTTCTTACTGTTGATGCTGAGGGTAAGGATAAGGTCGTACCAGGTCTTTTCGCATGTGGTGAAGCTGCTTGTGTCTCCGTACACGGTGCCAACCGTCTCGGAGCTAACTCACTTCTTGATTTGATTGTTTTCGGTCGTGCTGTATCCCACACTATTCGCGATAACTTCGAACCAGGAATGCCACACAAGGAGATCAGTGCCGATGCTGGTGCCGAATCTATCAGTGTTCTTGACCAAATTAGAACTGCTGATGGTACCAAGAGCACACACGAAGTCCGTCTCGCTATGCAAAAGACTATGCAGACAGACGTCAGTGTGTTCAGAACTCAAGAGAGTTTGGATGAGGGTGTTACAAAGATTAACGCTGTTGATCAAACATTCAAGGATATCAAGACTCAAGACAGAAGCATGATCTGGAACTCGGATTTGGTTGAGACTTTAGAATTGAGAAACTTGTTGACTTGCGCGTAAGTTTTCCCCGCGTATATTTTCGAATTTTACCCGAATTATATACTAACTTCATATAGTGTTCAAACCGCCGAGGCAGCTGCCGCTAGAAAGGAATCTCGTGGAGCACATGCTCGTGAAGATTACCCAGAGAGAGATGATAAGGAATGGATGAAGCATTCTTTGACCTTCCAAAAGAAGCCACAAGGAAAGACCGATTTGACCTACAGAGCTGTTGTAGGCCACACCTTGGATGAGAATGAGTGCAAGGCTGTCCCACCTTTCAAGCGTGTATACTAGATGTTCAAATTTTGCCCATGGAGTAATGGCTTAGGGTCTGGCTAGGGGTTAAAGGGGTGCTTATACGACAAGCGACCGAGAAAAGGAAAGGCAAAGGTCGGGAGAGCAGAAGAAGATGATTAAAGATGAAAATGGATATGACTCCAAGATCAGAAATGATCTATGAACCTTTGAGCTGGACATGAAAGGGGCGTGGATTGTAGCATAGCCGGTTGGGAATTGGAGTGGATTAGTATGATATCTGTTGTTGTCTGCGGTTTTTTGGCGTGCCAAGTTGTAGTACCCGTATACAAGGTGTTGTCGTGGTTGTTGAATAAAAATATCTTTATTTGAAATTTGCTATGGCTACTGGTCAATGTGAAGAGTCAAGATTACAGTCACATGTCAGATGGTGAATGATCGAACGAGGTAGTTTCAACCGAGGAGATGTGGTGGGGAAGCAACAACTCCGGAATGCGGGATTGTTCGGTAATGGATTAGGCTAGAGGGAAGAAAATCAATGGGGGATGATATACGGAGGGGGAGCTAAATAGGTAAACTAAACTTGATGATTTATTAATGCCGATCAATTAATCGTCTAGAGTATTAATGACGGCTATGATATTTATGTTGGGTGAAGATTGTTGTATCTTGTTATTTGGATTGATTGATTGTGTGATGTCGATTATTTGAAGAACCTTGGAAAGAATTGTATACTTGTGTGTATGGTTTGATTTACTTGGCTGTGTCGGATGATATCAGATTATAAAATTAAACCATCTCATCACGTCATATCATTTATTCAAACAATATCTACATCGATAATTAAAGATCACATCCGTATTATCTCAATACCGGAAAACGGAAAACATCACATCATGACCTCGAGCGATCCACAAGGGAAAGGAAAAGGAAAAGCTCCCAATCCATCTTCCGCTTCTACTTCCTCTACGTTTACAGCTCCAACGCGAACAACTTCAAATGACACACCCAGTCGACAAGATGAACAACCTACTCCCTCTCTCCTTAACCGTATTGGTGCTTCGGCAGCAGGATTGAGTCGGGATGTTTTTGCGGGGGGATCTGCTGTTGGAGGAGAGTCATTAAGGAGAGATGCGCGGGGGTTCCTTGCAGCGGCTGGGAATGGGAAGGGGGGAAGTACGAGTGCGAGTGGAAATGAAAATGGAGATGTAGGGTACACGCAAATGCACACCGGGAATCTTGGGTTGTTAGATGGATCTTCTTCGATCTCTGGGGGTGTTGGGGATACTCTTGGAATGAGAAGCGCGGGGAATATGAGGACTAGTGGTAGTGGTAGTGGTATCCAAGGAGCTGGAGGAAGTGGGAATTTAGATGGGAATACAGTGGAGGGAAGTGAAAGAGCGAGATGGATACAGCAGAACGAGAAGGAATTCGCTGAGTTTTTGGATGGTGTTCCTTCTCTTACCACTGCGGGTGATGCTGGCTTTGAGGGTGGTTACATGGAATCTACTTACGAGATGCACACAAACGATTCGCAAACCGCGCAGGCAGGTAAATTTCAGTATGGCGCTCCTTTGAATCCAGTGGGAAAACAAGCTTTCGAAGACTCATGGGCTCGATCTGCACAAGAAGTTACTGGCCAGCATGAAGCTCATCCTGGGCCTCACGCTGTAAATACACGAGAACCAACAATCTACCACTTCGAGCCACTGCCAGCCTTCAATCCAGATAAAGTGACAGCGGCGGAATATCGTCGAGAGGTAGTAAATACGACTGCCCGTCGAGATGCCGGGTACATGAATACCGGTCACCACAATATATCCGTGCAAGAACAGGAAAGTCGGGACGGAGACGAAGTACGCGATCTGTTATCGAGAATTGGAGGGTTTTCTTTCGATGAGGAGATTGCTGGACTGAGCGAGACGGAAATAGAGAGAGATGAAATGAAAGCTTATGAGAGAGAATGGATGGGTATGAGTTCTATGGAACGGGATAGGATTATACAGGTTACGAGAGATTTATTTCCGGAAAAGGTGAAGGATGGAAGGGGGGGGTTGCATGGAGGTATTGATGTGGAGAATCCGCTGAATTTGTTTCCGGGGCATGAGAGGGAAGCGGAGGAGAATTGGAGAGAAGAGAAGGAAAGAGAAATGCAAAGAGAAGAAGAAGACGACGACGACGACGATGATGAGTTCGAAGGCGAAGTATTAAATTTCCAAGGAACAGAATGGAGAGTGAGGAAAGAAAAGAAAAATGGGGAGATAAAAAAAGGGATGAGAGGGAAGGCAAAGGAAGAGTGGAAAAGTGATTGGGAGGGTGTACTTAAAGGGTATACTGATGAAGTTTGGGGAGGCTTAATACCGTTAGTTAGAGAAGCGAGAGAGGAATTGAAAGTCGAAGAGGAGAAGGGGGACGGGGGAGAGGGGAAAGAGACGGGAAATCTAAAAGCGCTGAGGAGATTGGGTGCTGTGTTGGGACATTTGAGGGGGTTGGATGGGAGTGGGAAACAGGGATGGGGATGTTGATTTGATGCAATGGGATTCTGATGGGTAACCTCTGGATATCATTTCGTAATTGGAGTTTGTTTATTATGTATAGTTCTCAGAACTTCTGGAAGGAAATCGAGGGCCAAACCCGACTAACACATATACAAACCCAGAATATATAACCGAAAATCCATCCCAGAATCCAACAATCATCCAAAACGAGAAGAAAAGCTATCAAAGAACATCTCACATATACATGGTCAATATAAGACACAAGTAGAGAAATCCGAAACTTATCAAGATCCAACAATGACAAAGTTCCATTATTGCTTCGGGTAGGTACGCAGATATGAGGTGTACATATACTAGATTCAGCTAGATATTTCTCAGTCTACTACACACAATGAATCAGCACACGAAATTCACAATCCCAAAACCGTACGAATAAAAACCAACGCATCAAATTAGACTATCAAAAACTGCGAATATTAATCATATACAAGTCCTTTCCCACCCCATACCCCAAAAGACATATCCCATATCCCCAGAGAGCCCCATTTTGCAGTCTCATCTCCTGCTGCACCTACAGCTTCGTCTCCCGTTTGATCCAGTCACTCCCCCTTTCCTTTCCCGTTTCCTTTCCTTCCCATTTTGGCCCCACTCGCCCATACCCGGAATGCATATTTCTCGCCAGCAAACTCACTACCCGCTACCCGCAAAACGCACCATTCATTTATCTCCCGTCCCTCCCTGTCCAAACCCCTTTTGTAGGATGAAAAACAATTAAAAATGAAAAACGAAAAGTCATGTCTTGCGAATTTGGATATCCAGTAAGTGAGTATCCACTAGTAGACGAAACACCCCACTGTTTCATTTGTAAATAGGATAAATAGCTTGGATAAATAGGGAATGTTGCGTGCCGCCGACGCCAATGATGAAAGGAAATGTTAAAGAAGAACTCCATCTTCACCCTATGATGAAGATTGGAAATGCAATGCAGAGTATGCGAACTAAAGAAGCAACGGGATTCCCTCCATTTTGATAAATAAATAAAAGTCGTGTATCGTATCGCTGAGGTCATCTTCCTCCAATGACTGTTCTCATTTTTTGTTGTTTTGTTTTCTCTTGTTTTTCTACTTCTCGTCCATCCTCCTTTCTTGTGTCCACTGTGTAGGTATAGTACACCGCGTCTCATATCTCATCAAGTTTCCGAGAATGATTCCAATCAATCACCCAATGATGTACTGCATGAAAAAACCTCCGATACTGATTCACTCCGCAATCAGTCCACCTCTTCAACCCACCAACACACCTATGTAAACTTTTGCCCCTCCACCTTGTTCTTTTTCGTGACTTGCACCCAAGCTCCAATCTCCTCAACAGCCTTTCTAGGTGCCTTTTTCCTCGTCAAAAGGAATCCTTGAACCTCAGCTGGACTGAACATATAGTCCTCGATATGCTCTGAAAACTGCTTTGCCAAAATCTTGAGTTCCCCCTCTCTCAAGATTTCTTCTTCGCCATTCTTCTCAATATCAGCTATTGTGAGGGTTTTCTTTCCCGTGGGAGTGGTAGCATCTATTTCAGTCCCGTTTCCAATTTCAGTTTCAGTTACAATGGCGATAGGAGTATCTGGTGGTGTAAGAGGACGATTCCCCGAAAGTGAATTTGTAATTAAATTTGCAAATGTCTTTTCCGTTTCTTGGCTGGAGGCATCTGAAGGTGGGGTAAGAAGAGGAGTTTCTTCTTCTTCTCTTTCAATAGGAACTTGTACTTTTTGGGTGATGGGCTCGGTGGCTGGTGAGGTAGTAGCGATAAGTTTCTCCCTCGGCGGGTCTTTAGTGTACATTCTCTCGAAGATTTCTTTAATCTGATGACGAGTGGCATTTGTGAATGCAACTTGACAGTCTACGCGGCCTGGTCGAATAAGAGCCTCGTCTAGCTTTTCGGGATGGTTGGTAGTCATCACTAAGACGCGACCTTCATGTGAGGCCACACCATCAATGATCTAGAAACATAGTTAGATATTCAGACTTCTGAATGCGTGAAGGATTTTAGAAACTTACATTCAAGAGACCAGATAATGAGATCCCCTTCTTTTCATCGTTATCTTTCTTACTCTTCTTGCCCTTCTTGCTTCGTTTACCCTTGCTACGTCTACCCTTGCTCTTGCTCTTGCCCTTTCTTCGTGATTTTTTCGTCACAACTTCGTCTTCATCTTCACTGCTGCTGCTTTCAGAACTAGATTCATCAGTCGACTCAACTTTATCTTCATTGACTCGCGTTAGACCTGCGGTGTCGATATCCTCCAATAGTACAATACATCTAGGTGGCAGGTTGGTAAAGAGATTCCCGAGTTCTTCTTCTGTGAGTGTAGGCTCTAGCAAGCTAACAACGTAGATATTCAAACCAAAGACGCCAGCAAGGGCAAAGGTTAAAGAAGTTTTACCAGTTCCTGGAGGTCCATGAAAAAGATACCCCCTGCGATAAGGAATACCACGAGTGGCATACCAACGAGCAGTTGAAGGATTCAAGTATTCGTTGATATCACGTAGTACCTTAGTTTTCATAACCTCATCCAAAACAACAGTTCTCATTGGTCGACAAGGTCTTCTCGCCACCTCAACCCAAGAGCCTCGGCCTCCCCATGCTCGACGCTCCTTGTTTGCAGGTCGACGAATGACAGTCTTTGCACTGTGATTTCTATTTGAATAATCTTTGGCCTCTTGAAGAAATTCCTTGATAGGTATTGTGCTACGACCATAACAAGATATGAGCAGCACTTGTTGGTCAGATACTGGGTTGTCACCATATGAGGAAGACGCAAAAACCATTTTTTCGGATCGTTTAACCCTAAAGTATCTACCATTATGCCAAAAAGTATGACTAGCTCCCATAGACGGCGTGAATTGTGGCTTAGTCTTGGAATCTTGATCAGCAAAATTGAGCCATTGTATAATACCGGTTCCGTCAAGCTGTGTCAAGGTGACTGAGTCCTCATTATCTAGGTCCCAATATCCCCGTCGTGCTGTTTCTGCCTGAAGGGAGCGAGAGGGTTTCATTTGGTACTTGTGTGCCAGGAATTCTATAACCTCGTTGTGAATTTCATCTCTGCTACTAATAGAGATATCAGACATCCAATACGATCTTACGAATGACCATCCCCATGAATAAAATGCATCGAAAGCCTTGTTTCCCAGCCATAAAGCTGCCCATAGGGAGACAAGGACGGTAATATCAAACCCGACGGTTTGTAGAACAATCTTGTGAATGTAGCCATATCCGGGAACGAGATTTTCGAGAAGGGTAGTTGGTAGTAACCCGCCGAGTAAAGCTGCCGTTGTGCTTGTGTTTGTGTGAGATGACACAGATAAGTTCTGGTGTAGAGCTTCTAAAACCGCATCGAGATCCATGTCGTTCAATCTCTTCTCTTTATTTGGTGGAGATTTTGTAGATTGAACGAACAAGTGGAGATTTTGTTTGAGGGAATGGGGTGGCGGAGGGGAATGAAGAACGTGAACACTTCAAGAAATGGTGACGAGTGTTGCGTAGAAGTGATCTGCAAATTGTATGGTGGATCTTTGTTGGGCGTAAAGTATGTGTAATATTTGATAGGCAAGGTCAATAGTTTCTGTGTTAAGCTCTAAAGAAACACAAATCATAATTTAGAGGAAGGAAAGAGCACATATGCAGTGTCCACAATTGGACCACGCGGCACGGTACAAACGGTGTAAATGGCGTGTAGTTGTCTCTTCTGATTCACTGGCTTAAATAGAACCCATATTACAATGTGATGTGTATGAAATATGGTAAGTTTAATTTTAAAGACAACCGGTACCATGTCACTGGGATATCGTCTGGGAACTTCCTGCGAATAGCACAAGGAAATCGAGAGCCGCACCTTTCTCTTTGAATACCAAGCAACGAATGGGCGGCCCCAGCGATCCCTTTTGTAGAGCTTAACTTTCAAATGTTACTAGTGGGGCATGGGAGATCTTGAGAGAAAGTTCTGACATAAAAGTAGGCAACAGGCGGAGTAACTTGCTGACTCCCTGGTAGTTGTTCTAGGCCCTAATGAGATATAAGGAACCCGATACAAAATGTGATGAGTGTAAAAAGGAACAGACAACGAACCCATGTGATTTGCTGCACTAGCTTGATAAATTCCGATGCTGGTACCCGTCTGACAAAGACAGATGCAATTGTACCATCTGTACGAGAAGCTGGTTCCAAAACCCAGGCTGAAGAGAGTTACGTCAAATATGTGGCAATGACTCAAAGGTGTGGAATATGCAAGGAGATGAAGAGGCGCTGGCCACGTCGTCCGGGAAAAATAGACCGGATGAAAAGACAATAGCAGCTACAGAGTATAAAGAAGTTTACATGGAAGAGTCATAAAATGGCAAAAGTTCGCGTCAGGTCCAAATGCTTGGGATTTTACTGAAGTCTCTTGTCAGCATATCTTTGGTTGGAGAATACGAGCTTATTGAAATTAACGAACTAATTCCAATATCTCAACAGTTGGAGTTTCCAAAAAGGTTGGTAACATCAAAAACTGCTAGACCGTGGCTTCTTGGGTTGCCTTTAATGCAGTTGGTGAAGTTGGTTCGTAGTGGTTATAGCACATCTTCTAACATTTCTCTTTTGATTCGTTGTCGCTGCTGCTTGTGTTCTCCACCGTTTTTCTGCAAGCAAACATACATTTGCCTCTTTGCCTTATTTGTGTCTCATTGGAAACCTTGGTATGTTCACATGATGACGGGATTGGAGAGATGAAGATGATGGGAGGGTTGAGGAATCAAAACTTCATTGGTTCCCACGTTTATCATAACAGGCTAAAGAGTCCATTGGTTCTTCACCTACCCGGGCTACACGATGTATGTAGGAGGGGATTCGAGTTTTCGCGTCGTGAAGATTCTACGATACGTCCACGACGAATGATGGGGGAGGAGGAAGGTAAGACCTGACTGAATGCATCTCATTAGTACGTACAAGATATCGGACATTGTTACCACTAACGGCGAAATATTGATGAATCCCCGTGCATATGATATGTAAGCAAAATGTGGATTGTACCTTCACTTCAATACCTAGGTATAGCTTCATCAATCGTTGATCTGTCAGCCTTGTCATCAAAAACGTCCAATCCCGGATATCCATATCACTGCATGATCCATCTTATCTGTTCGCTATTCATGCATACCATTCTTCCTTAACTAAGCGCCTTCTCTCATAGCAGCCTATCGATCGATTCGATTCGTGAGCTCGTGTATTACTTCTGTGCCGATAAATCTGGTAGCTAGCTCTATTGTGGAGAGCTCTTCGTATAAACAAGTTGCGGCTCAACCGACTATCGTTACATCAGTGTCTTAGATTTCGATTACATAAAGACAACATTGCCCGTGGAGTACGCAAACGGCATTTGCGGCTCTGAGCTGCTCAATACTCTTTAAAAAAACACTCGTTCAAGATGATGTCCGCTACGAATGAAGATGATCCCTTTCTCCAAGTACAAGCGTAAGTCTTTCTAGCCTTCTTCTGGGTCTTATTACCCTGCAACTTTACCCCTCTGGGGATTGTTAGTTTTTCCGCAGTCTGCCTTACCCCTCATACATTCACACCCACTCTCTTCGCGCAAGAGGCCTGGGCCTGCAATCTTCCTCTGCGATCATATGTATGCAATGCATACACATTCAGCCCTCTACTGTCCTCACTTTCCAATCATTTCGCGTGAACTTATCTTATGAACTCACGCGCATACTTCATCCCCCGCATATGCTTCAGATTCGCGCATACTCTACCATTCAATATATTCCCAATCGGCATAATTCATTACAATTCCCTCACACCCTCAACTAACACAACCCTCCAGCGATGTACACCACCAACTATCCCTTACACGCCCCCTCTTTACTTCCTACCTGCGTATCCACTCTCTAACCAAATCTCCGCATCCAACTCCCGAACTCCTCTCCGCCCGCTCCGACCTAACCACCTCTCTCTCCCTCTTAACCGACGACCTGCAGGACCTTCGCGATTCCATATCCGCAATTCAAGCCGACCCCTACAAATATGGTTTACAAATCGAAGAAGTATCCCGTCGGGTACGGATGATAGAGGAGATTGGAGGCGAGGTAGACGACATGCGGGAAGAGCTTGAAAAAACTATGGGTGCTGCATCCAATTCCGGGGCCGGGGGGAATGCATATAATGATGACAATACCGGCTCACCTCTAGACGATGACTACGCCGCGGAATTCGAACATCAACAACAAATGCAAATGCTAAAGCAACAAGATGAGCAACTCGACAGTGTATTTCATACCGTAGGGAACCTCCGTCAACAAGCCGACGACATGGGCAGAGAATTAGAAGAACAAACAGGAATGTTACAAGAAGTAGAAACGGTAACCGATCGAGTGAGCGGGAGGCTACAGGGAGGAATGAAGAGGATGAATAAATTAGTCAAAGAGAACGAGGACGGACTAAGTAGTTGTTGTATTGGGGTGTTAATTTTCGTGCTGATTTTGTTGCTGGTGCTTGTGCTTATATTGTGAAGGAAGCGGAAACAAGGGTGCGGGAGAGGAGTACTTCTTGAATTCATCTCATCTAATTTTTCATTTCCTGTCTATCTTTCTTTCTATAATCAGAACAAGCATCGGAGTTCAGGCGTTAGACAGAGGTGTAATACACAGGGAGCTCAAAAGCTGATCAGAAACGAGCAGCTCGGGAAGGACGGAATGGAAAGGCAAGGCAAGGAATTGAAAACAATAAAGTGAAACGTGGAAAGCAAACAAACAGCAAACTCAACAATCTCCAGAAGCTCCAAACGAGCGCATGCATATATAGAGAGATCAAAGATAAAGCAAAGAACAAATATAGTATTCAAACTTGCGCTTTAAACAAAATAATAAATCATTAAATCCAACAAAGTGCCCGACATCGAGGTAGGTTGAGATCTTATTTCTATAGTTCCATTTCCATCTCCATTTCCGCTGCTAATTCTCTGTGCTCTTGTGCTCTGCAAATTCATATCTATATTCACAGTGGATCCAAAAGTCAGTATACCCATCACACATAGATGCATATATTTACATCCATACCTCTCCCGCAGGACCAACTCAAACTCCCAGAAGAATACTAATCAGCCATACATATCTACTTTTTATTTATAACTCATTCTCATTGATTTACTTTCATGCTAGTACTGATGAATTGCACTACCAATGCACTACTCCTTCCTAAAAGTTTTGCAATCCCAAGCCCAGTCCATGCACGCATGTAGACATACATACATGCTTATATTCCTGTTTATTTTCCTTTCAAAAGCACCCCATCCTACTACTGTGCATCCACAACACTCATCTTCTGCTTCAAGTCCTTTTCCTCCCTGTCCCATAGCCACAACCAATACCAACCATCCATAGATATCACACCTGTTCAGCCACGCCAATCCCAACCTAACAAAATTGATCTGCATAATCCGACCCTTTTCCTTCTATCCGCCGTAACCTCAAGAGAGAAGACTAGCCTGGTCGTCGATAAAAGAATGATCGCTCGTTTCTGGATCACCATCCAATTCCTTTTTCGGTACCGTCGAGGTCCATGACGAAACGAGTCCGACAACCGTAGTTGCAGAGGTGCCGCTCACGGAACGATTAGCATCCGTATCGAAACCGAAATCGAGACCTGACGTGGAATTGCTCTGAAAATGTATTTCGTCAACGAATGAACTCTGAGCAGACGAGACCAAACGAGACTAAACAAGAAATAGTTATGTTGAGGTATAGGGATGAACAAACATGCTTGCAGGTGAGAGGATTAACGGACGGGAAGACGAAGAGGACGAAGATTATGAAGATTATGAAGACAAGGTACGCGTGAGCCAACAATTCTAATCAGGACAAATGACAACTCCTCACTCCCCCAGCAAGGCTCCTTGAAAGCAGAAACAAAGCGGCATGGTACTAACAACAATCATCGCTGACTTCTGGAAGATCCTACCGAGTTTTGTCGATCGTGATTGGGTCTTCGCTCTCGACGATCTCCATCTTGAAGTTTCAAGGAGTCTAGCCTCTTCTGATTGTCCTCTGTCATCGGATCCACATCATCTGCTCGTAATGGGGTTGTTTTGGTTCTTGAAGGAGAAGCTGGACCTGTAGGTAAAGCGGCTCCATTAGTCTTCGACCTTCCTGCTTGTTCCTCCAAAGCCTTCCATTTGTTTCCTCTGGCTTGTTCTCTAGCTTCAGCATTGTTCTGATGCTCAGTGTAATCGTGAGAGCAATCGTCAAAAAGCTGAGGGTTGATCTCCATGAATAGCTTCATTGCGTTGTAAACCATGCCGTGGATCGTTCTAGATTGAATGGATTAGCTTGAGTCAGCTTTTCATAGAGATTCGGAAAGTTTCTCACCTGTTCCAATGACCTTTGGAATTCTCATATAATGGTGCGAACATAATTGGTAAGATTATCTCAACATTATCGCTGACCAGATTGCAAAAGTATTCGTTATTCCAGAAGTATAACGCACGTTCTGCAACTTGAAAATGTGGACTCGCAACTGATTTTGCCAGTTGATGGAAAAGAGGCTCCTGAACTTTAGCGAATTCTGCTGGGTCCATTACCTCGAAAATATCCTCCACTTCGTTGAGGAACATAACTTCTTTCGTGCTGTTCACCTTAGGCCAATAACGGAGCAAGCCCAAAACAACCTAAAATGGTGAGTAAATCGAATCTGTAATGATGGTGCTAGACATACCTCTTCTGTTAAAGCCGCATCCTTTTCCAGGAATTGAACAATGCAGTATGCAAGTTGAGGATGATACATGCTCAGACTCTTGACTTTATGTAATGGTATTAAGACTCTCGTCAAAAACAGCTTGTGCTCTTCCTTTAATGGCAAAGCAAAACCGTTAATGATAGACCCAAGAATCTCCAGTAGCTCAGCAATACCATTAAAACGTTCCGTCTCATAAACAAATTGAAAGAATACGTTGTTAATAGATCTTCTAATGTATGACCGAAGGTTGAGAAATTTTCCATATATCCTGTGAAGGGTTGTCTTTAAGAAGTCTCGCTCGCGGGGGTCTTCAGAATCAAAGAGTTCAAGTAACTGTAATACAAAACTGTGATCTATGAATGCCTTCGCAATATTGGTGTTGAAGTCTTGACTCTCAATAAATCTCAAGAAGAATTCATATACAACTTGAATATGCGGCCAAGCAACTTCAAGAACTGGTTCATCTTCCTCGGGATCGAAAGCTTCACCTTGGGGGTTCATAGGAGGTGGTATGGGACGGAAAAGATTTTTACTGAACATCTCGACGACCTTTGGGTACATAGCCTCAGTGATGACTTGTCTGTTGTTGGCAACGTAATCAAGAAGTTCATGGAGAGCTAGTCTTTTGATTTCCTTGGACTTCATATCCGCGCTTGCATCGTTGAAATCAAATATGACATTGCATTGATCAATCTTCTGCATAAAGAGATCTTGGCGGCGATTAGGAGGTACCTCGTGGAAACCTGGCAGCTTTTCCAACTCGCGGAGAGGAGAAATATCAAATCTCGAAGAGTGTTGTCGCTTAGGTGTTCTGATGCCTTCTGGGACGTCTTTTGGAGTTGTTTGTAACCGGTCGAACATTGATGACTTCGCACCAGCCTTGGGGGAGCGAGGTCATGCGGCATTGTTTCTGCGGCACCTGGAGGAGGGATGTGCTGAAAGAAAGACATTAGTACGCAGAAGATGATCCAAGTGTGTGGCGTAACTTACTGGTGCACTTGGACTGATAACAACACTAGGAGGAAGTGCCCCATGACGATTTGGTGTCCCAGGGCTGGGGGAGCCTCCTCCTGTGTTGAATCGATCCGGAGCAGACATTGCACCAAGAGCTGCTGGGTTCAACGGTGGTTGCACGACTACACCACTTGAAGATGTACCATCATTAGGAGGCAGTGGTTTATTCCGCAAGTCATTAAGTGTCGTACTCGAAGATGAGGGTGTTACTGCGGGCGATTGTCCCGCTCCCTGTGAATTGGATTGCGAAGGTGAAGATGTACCATCTTTTGATGATTCCCCCTTCTTAGATTTCGTTTTGTTTGGATCTTTTGAGCGCGAAAGCTGCTCATGCTGAATGGGTTAGCAGATGATCACTTTCAAAATGATAAGGTTGCTATATGGAGAGTATTCAGCATCAAAATGACTTACAACCCTCTGTCTGAAACCTTTCATCTTGGACAACTACTCTCAGGAAGATGTAAAAGACACAAAATCTCGATTATTTGATACTCTTTGGATATTGCCGGTTTGCGAAAGCTCTTGTTCTTATCCACCAACAATTCCAATTTCAAAGTAAAAAGGTCGCGTCACTTAAGATTGCTGTTGTGAATGTGTTGATCCTATTCTTGATGAGGCTCTGAAGACTGCGGTAAATTACTCGATAGCAGTGGCTTAACTCCCGTTTGTCGCTGAATGGCACCAAACACAAAAATGGATATTCAACCGCAGCGATCCGTTGATACGCAGATAGAAACCTCCAATAGCACCTTAGTGTTGTAGCTTGAATTCCTTGGTTGTAAATTGATAGTGCGATGTTGGTAGGTTTTCATAAAAGATAATGGGAATTGCCAATGGTTCCTATTTGATCTGCCGAAGTTCTGTATCCCAAAGGTTCGTGAGGGGCTAGCCCCGGTTGTTGACTTGTTGCGCAAGTGTAGGTAAACAAGTTCTACCAGAACGATATCTGTCAGTGCGAGTTGGGAGAAGATAGGGAGAGTAGGATATGTTTAAACACACAAACGAGCCAACAATGACGATTGACATACACGGTCGATCGTACAGCGGCAGCGGCTGTTGAAGTAGGTCGAGGCTAATCCCGGCGGTGAATATGGTACTCCTCTACGCCGAAGCACAAGCTATCAAATTATTGAAGAAGGCCAACGCGTTTGGGCGCTTTTCTATGGACAGCAAATAAATTGGCAGATGGATAATAATTGGTCGGGTATTAAGATCTTGGAATGAGTTGTTAAACTCCTTCAAGTAGAATGGTTAATTAGGAGAGTTTTATTTATTTGACCTTCATTTCAAAGAGTCTTAAACAACACAGCAGCATCAACAAGTGCGAGTGGTCCCCTCAGTAGATTGAATTAGCGCAGGTTGATGATAACCTAAATTCTAAGGCAATTAAATCAAATCTAATTGACTTTGGGGCTTTCACATTTTCACGCTTTCACTACCTAGGTAGGTACTACGTAGGTTCGGAGATTTCTTTGCTGCTGTCCGCGCCCCGGTGACGTGAAAGACTCGAATTTACGACTTTTAGATGATTTTTCCCTCTATAAAGCTTGGATGATGGCTTGGCCTTGAGCCGTCAACGGTCAAACGAGAAGATAGGATATCTGTCTGGGTATTGATTGGTCCAAGCCAAAATTAAACATTCCCCATATTGAGTACTACAACCTCGTTGGTCCGAAGAACAGTCGTCTACCAGATTCACGGGTTTTGATAGAAGACATAGAGAATTCTCTAGTACTGGGTCACTGGCTTGTCGAGGTTATTCGCATAAATAATTTGACAAGTCCAAGAGAAGGGTAATAACAGGATGGTCGAATATCGGCATTGAATCAAAAACAATTCAAGGATCCAAAATTAAAAAAAGACCCATTTTGCTTTACAATCCCGGTAACTTTTCCTCTACTTACAGAAATATGGAAGATTACGAAGATATGGATGATATGGATTTTGAGGAGGAGGTTGAGGTTGGAGGGGAGGATGGTGAAGAATATGAAGAGGCAGAAGGCTTGGAAGTGATTGAGGAAAATGACGAAGAGGAAGATGGAGATTTTGACTACGAAGAAGAAGACCAATCTGCTCCGGTGTATACAATCCCTCCAAGGGAAATTGTCGCCGTCGAACATCCATTGATTGTTAAGAATCTTGAAAATGGCATCAAAACTTTTGGACGTCAACCACAATGGAACAAGGTACGTGGAAACTATTTTTGATACCCTAAATAGCTTCGACACTCTTCTACTACATGACGAATAGATCTCATCTTATGATAGCTATGAAATCATAATCTTTATATTAACTATGGACTAACAACTTCAATAGATTCTTGAGGGCACTGAAGATGAATGTATCCCGCTTTTTCTTCGAATCAAGGATCCCACATGCGAACCAATTCTATCTTACAATAGCATCACCAACAATGTTCTCCTCAAGATCACCGTACCAAAACGTACTGGCAGAAAGCGCAAGCGTGGATCTCAGGATCCCTATACTGACAATGGGCATTCAACATCTCAGGATACCAGTGAAAAGAGTTCGTTCGGTGAAAATCAATCTCACTCTTTAAATGACAAACCCAATAGTATTCTGAGAAAGCTTCGAGACAATGTTGGTAGATATACTGTCGAGGCTGCAGGAGCCATAGAACAGAGTCATCGCTATAGAGGTAGTGACCTTCTTCCCTTATGTTCGCAATACATTAACAAGATCCAGGACTTTCCGACTATCATCAATCTACATCTAGTGCAACTTTCATGTCACATTTCAAAGAAACTGCATTCTCTGCCAATTGTAAATCCTCATATAAGTTATATTTCCAAGATGTCGCTAACTTTCACCAGGGGGCAAGATGCGAGAATTCAAGCTCGGTACTGACAAAGGCTGGAAACCAAACGAAGAAATTGTTCCTCCACCCACATTCACTCACCATCCACTGCCATTCAACTGGGGGTATCGACAAAATCCTTTAATCTCAACCGAAGTGGATGCCGAGACAGGAGAAACAAGTATAGTGAACCGTTCGAAAATGCCAAAGCTCGAGATGCAGTATGTACATTGCGATGAAGACGAAGACGTCCCAACAAAGCCATTTCGTGAAGTTCCCGATGATCCTGTTCTCAAAGACTTCGTAGCCGCACTTCAACTAGCCATGAACGAACGTCCAATTTGGACTCGTCGTGCATTGCAAAATCGTCTCGCCAACGAGCCAGGATATTATTTGATGAAACCTGCACTTCAGTATGTGGGTTACCAATTCCGAAGCGGTCCTTGGCGTGATGCACTCATAAGATATGGAGTTGATCCCCGCAAAGATCCATCTTGTCGGATTTATCAAACGATTTTCTTTAAGTTATACGAAGAAGATGAACGTGCTCCCGATGGTCAATGGAAAGATATGCGGAGTCAATACACAAGACATCAAGTTTTCGGCACGGGAGATTGTCCTTCACATATGTTCAATGGCACTTCTTTAACTCTCGACGGCAAAGTGTGGCAAATTTGCGATATTACAGACCCTCTACTTGCTCCTCTTATACAAAATGCTCCAATGGCCAAGCAATACGATAACAACCATGATGGCTATTACAACAATGGAACTCTTGCCAAGATCCGAGCTATCATGAAAACAAAGTTGATTGCCATCCGCAGCAAAAAAGTGATTCCCGAAAATGCATTTGATGTAGCGCTCAGCATACCTGATTTCGTAGAGGGAAAAGATGGAAAGAAAGTCCATGTGCCAGTACCAGATATGCGATTGACAGAAGAAGAAATCGAAAAATTAAGAGAAAAGGGTATTATTAGTGGAATGAGTGGGAAGGGAGTGAGACATCTTGATTCAAGGACAAAGAGAAAACAATATAGAAAGGGCGGGAAGTTACCAATAAAAGCTAAGAGAGCGAAGCAATATGGAATGATGAAGGGACCGTCAACATCAAAACCTAAAACTTCGACCACAGCAGCGAAACCGAAAAATAAGAAGACAGCTGGACCTTCCGAAAAGGATGAAGATGCTACGCCAGATATTGCTGCTGTGCATGTACAGGGAGATATCTCAACGGAAGATACCATTAAGATGATGGATGCAGAGGGAGAAGAAGATGAGATCGAAGTCGATGCTGAGAGAGAAGATGAAGATGAAGAAGCCGAAGAGGAAGAACTAGTCGATGCGGAACTAGGGTCTGAAAACGAAAGTACAGACTCAGAGGATGAATCTGAGGCGGAAAAAGAAAAGGAAATGTTTATTAAGAATTATGAGGCGAGGATGGGGGCTGGGAATTGTTCAAGTAATTAGTGTGTAGGCTGTCTAGATAGGTTTTCGCAGCCAGATTGATACCGGGGAGGATACTGTATGATTCCGGGGGTTCTCTGTCGCGTAAACTAATATCACATTGTCAATTCAAGCAATCGATTACATGACTTGATCGGGCTTCACGTGGATCGCATCAACATCTCACTGTCACTTGTTATTGTCGAGTCATTTGATGGACCGACGCGTACAATGTTAAGGACATCAAAAAGGCGAGCAATCTGTCATTGAGGGATCTTTAATGAATAAATCAATGGCCAACAGAGAGCTCCTTAGGCGAGTTTGCTCCTTACAAATAAATTGTCTTGGATGCATCCAACAAACCTGATACTTCCTCTAGAACTAGATCACAAGGTTAGCTGCTCTAAACTATCAATGCGATAAAACAACATAGGTAGCCCTGACGCATCCACAACTTTCTCATTGTGACTTTCAAACGGAACTCTAATTATCCTCCCGCCCTCCAAAATTTGCAAGGCAACTCTACTACCGTCTGTGTCCGGCACTCTTAAAGAGGAAAAGAAGAAAGAAAAGATTATCATTCGCACTCGTCACATGGCTGATTTTAAACTTCATTCAATGGCCCGGTATGTTTGGGACGGAACAGGATGATCCATCTCCAAACAGTTGGAAAAGTTTTTCCGATGGATAGGAAATCATTTTGTTACATCTATTCAATCATTGCTCATGCGGTGCTTCCAGGTGCTCAAATCACTTGGTTTCAAGGTCCTTGTGAGAAGACTACTTCCAGATTTTTGTTATCATGCAAATGTAGATGCGCTAGGACACTATATTCAGACGCTCTTGTGATATTCAAGTAATGACGCACCGGTGGGCCACTGCCCTGGAGGCCTTTCCGCTTCGCTCTAACTCTAGATGGGGACTGAGAAGGGAAGGGGGAAAGATATAATAGATTAGATAAATCGAGCGTAGCGAGGACGGGTGTTTGGGGGCTTGCTCCCATAGAAGACTGGGAGATTCAGGTATATTGATGTTTGATAGCTATTGGACTAAACAAGATGAAGAGGCTTTCGTGGATACTCGTTATGGCGAAAAATGAGTAGGCTAGGCGTATGAAGTGAGGGGGTCTCATGTTCTTAGGGTTAGAAATTATCACTTTGACTTATAGACGAAGGATGAAAGGAGGGATGAATCGATGTAAAGCTATATTGATCGTACTACAATCATATCTTCTTCATTGAGCTTTTAGATCAGGAGTCACGGATAGAATAAAATAAAGTCCACAACTCGGTAGCTAGTACTGAGAGGCTGGCACATGTTTGTAAAATGGTTGGAAGAAATCTAGGTTTTCGTTTCTGGTAGCATGAGTAACAGGTTTCAAGACTGATTGGACTCCAGATTTCCCGCGTGTTCCGTATTTTCTTTTCGCCTGATACCTTTCTTATAGTTGGGGTGTGGAGGGGCGAAGCTGAATCAGTATAATAAAGAAGACGAACTAGACACGCGAGACACGTACTTAGAGATGATGGGAGTATTATATAAGCAGCAACACATGTTTCTTTGCTTACCTAATGAGACAACCCGAGTTCTTTCATGCCCGCATTTGGGTCATCATCGATTGAATGAATGAATGAATGAACGAATATCTTGTGTCGGTAGGATTCAGGAACGAACTACAAGAACTTTTCTGCTTCCCAAGTTCTCTATATATTTCAAAGAAGAGTGCCTCGATCTTGACGGAGATGATAATTAATAGCTTCTTATCTACAATTAGAATATAATTTATGGCCATGCTACTGATACTCATACTCGATCGGATAAAGAAAATAGATTTTGAAAGCCTTAATTTTGTCATCAGATTGGGAGGAAAACCTTAAATTTTCTTACCTCTGATTTAACAGCAGCGCGGGCCTCACCTCAAGATTGTGGTGCATCTCATAGGTACTGGACCAGGTAATCAATCTCATAACGAAGGTTCAACCCCACGAATTTCAATAAATAAACGTACAACCTCACTCAGCCTACAACCTTCAATCCCAAAAACCCTTACCATACCACCCCTTCGACCACCCCCCCCTCCAACACGAACAACAAACAATCTTCTTAAAAACCCAATAACAAGATTGATTCTCAAATATTCAATCTTGTCGCTTTCTTTATCTTGCCACCTATCAAGTGTTTTTATAGCTTGATTTATCTCGTACCTTGGGTAGTCTTACCGCACACACCGTCGATAATACTTGATTACAACCTTTTTACAACTCCACCACCATCACCTACCCTAGCACGTACAGGATACCTCAGCCTTCCTTGCATCACAGATCGGCCGTAAAGTCAAACTTATACATTTTGACGCGATCGAGTTGACCTTTCAATATCGACTGCCTTTTCCACATAGCCTGCAATAGGAAGAGGGTATAATCTCCTCCGCACAGCTCGTAAAAGATGGTAGAAGGGGAACCGAACTCTCCAACTTGGAAGTTCACTCAGTTAGTATACTCCTGCCATTATACTCTTGTTTATCTGCCACTCGGGAAATCATGGATGAGGGGTCCTCAATGTGTTTGGTGGATTGATTGCATCACCACTTTGAAATCAATGCTAACAAATTGTTATCAGATGTTTTGGTGATAAAGGCGATGTCGAAGATATAACGGAAGGTATGCCAATCTATTGATCCGTATCTTGATGGCGCTTTTCACTTTCTGCGGATAGTGCAAACTTCGTTCTACAATTACTAACACGATGGGTTCACAGCGGATATCATATCAACAGTCGAATTCGATCACACCGGAAATTATCTTGCTACAGGAGACAAAGGTGGACGTGTTGTTCTTTTTGAGAGGAATGAGACGGTACGAATTTCAATCCCTAGTCTAGACCGTGCAAGTCGCCGGAATGCTGACGCTATCATAGAAAAAAACATGCGAGTACAAATTCCACACAGAGTTTCAATCTCACGAGCCCGAGTTCGATTACCTCAAGTCATTAGAGATAGAAGAGAAGATCAACAAGATCAAATGGTGCAAACGACAAAATGCCTCTCATTACCTACTCTCAACGAACGATAAGACTATAAAGTTATGGAAAGTGTTTGAGAAGTCACTGAAGGTTGTTGCAGAGAACAACCTTTCCCATGATTTAACTCCAGGAAATCCTGCAGGAGGTGGTGGAGGTGTCCGATCCATATCAAACGTTCACTTCAACAGTGCTCACGACCTGAAATTACCCCGCCTTACTCATCACGACACTGTTGTTGCCGCAGTACCACGTCGAACATATGCAAATGCACATGCATACCATATCAACAGCATTTCAGTGAACAGTGACGGAGAAACATTCATTAGCAGTGATGATTTGCGAATAAACTTATGGAACTTGAATATCCAAGACCAAAGCTTCAATATCGTAGATATCAAGCCCGCCAACATGGAGGAGCTTACTGAAGTCATCACGGCTGCAGAGTTCCACCCCCAAAGTTGTAACTGGTTCATGTATGCAAGTTCAAAAGGAACAATCAAGCTTGCAGATATGAGAGAGAGCGCTCTCTGCGACCAACACGCAAAGCGTAAGTGCCATGTCATTATTCTTTGAATTCAACTTAGCTTACACCATCTCTAGAATTTGAACAGGAAGAAGATCCATCTGCTCGATCATTTTTCTCGGAAATCATTTCATCCATTTCTGACGTCCGATTCTCTCATGATGGTCGATACATTCTTTCACGTGATTATCTCACTGTCAAAATCTGGGATGTCAACATGGAGAGACAACCTGTCAAGACTATTCCAATCCACGAGCATCTTCGACCACGTCTTTGCGATACTTATGAAAATGATAGTATCTTTGACAAGTTTGAGGTAGTGTTCTCTGGTGACGCTAAGAATGTCATGACTGGTAGTTATAACAATAACTTTATGATCTATCCATCAGATCCCGATAAGGAAGTGGAGGTGGTCCTCCAAGCCGATAAATCAGCTTTCAAGGCTAAGAAGGTTGGTGTTCCAACACCAATCAACCCATCTGGTAGCCCAACCGCTGCGAATGGTAAAAAGGGCAACTCGAGGGCAGGTAGTCCAGCTGCTGGTGTTGGTGGTCAAGGTGGAAGGATGAAGAAAGAAACAGACGCAGACCAAATCGACTTCAATAAAAAGATATTACATATGAGTTGGCATCCTTTCGAAGACAGCATTGCCATTGCTGCAACGAACAACGTAAGTGTTATATGTACGATTTTCCTAATAACATCTGCTGACTACCTATTTAGCTTTTCGTTTTCTCCGCATTGTAGAAATTGGCAACATGCGGAAGCTGTCTTCAGGTCATATTCCATTTGCGTTTTAAGTGTGTACTGGCTACAGCAACCAGCCCAGCGTTGTCCTTGAGACCTATTCATATTCGTGGCATAGTTAATTTTATGTCACGAAGGAACTATTATCATTGAGTAGCGAGACTGCTACACTTCATAAGTGTTGCAATAGAGGGCGACGCAGAAATAAGCGGGGGCTGGTGAGTTATCTTTTGGAGACTGTTTCTTTCTCCAATTACCTGAAGCTCTTACAATAGTTTTCAGGTTAAGTTGTTCAAGGCAATGGTGTGAGATGTGCCTAGAAGTAACTTTTTGATGATCGAAGTAGCCTAGTGTAGCCTAGTCTAAATCACAAATGAATAATGCATGAAGTTCTGAATTAAACATATGTTTGTTAGATTGATGGCTAGACGGGGTTTCCTTTCAGTCCATGGTCAAAACCTGCCCCTCCTGTCTTCCGGTCATAGTGCTAGACGATAGAGTGAAAGCGCAAGAGCCGAGCTCATATGTCACGTGACAGTCCCGCTAAACCCACCCGCATAACGGATCAATCCTTACCAAAAAAAAGTTCGTCAAGAAATTTAATCCACAGAAGCTTCAGACCTCCAACCTTCAACCACCGACAATCCACACGACTCCAAGCCTCAATCTCGTATGTGTATCCCTGAATCACTTCATCAACTCTGATTACTTTCTCTATTGATCTCTCCTGCGCAATTGATTTTCTATCGCGCATGCGCTAACAATTTACCATCAGATTTCACCTCAACTCCCCCAAAACTCACCACCGTCACCAAACCTAGAAACACTCATCAAAATGCATCTTATGTACACCCTCGATGCGGCTGGAAAGCGCAAGTACACTTTGAAGAAAGTGATTGGAGGCGAGGTCACCAAGAGTGCGCATCCAGCCAGATTCAGCCCGGATGATAAATATTCGAGACATAGAGTTACATTGAAGAAGAGATATGGATTGCTTTTGGTGCAGCAGAGTGAGTGGTTTTTTCTTTCTTTTTTTGTGTTTTGTGTTGTGTTTGAGGTTGGGATTGGAGGATTTTGGGGTTATGGGGGAGGGGGAGAGGAAGAGGAGGGAGGAGGATGGGAGATGGGATTGCAATTGGAGGTATAATTGGATGAAAGGAGTAACTGCTAATGCGTGCGCAACCAGAGGATCTCAAGGTTTTGGGCCAATAAATATCTCTCACCACTTCTCGAGGTACAGATGGGGGCTACTTGACATGAAAATGCAGGCGAAGCGAGGAAAGAAAAGGAAAATGAACAGTCATGTGCATAACGCGCGCTGTGTTCAATCGTCAAAATGTGTAGGAAGGGAAAGGCAAGGCTGAATTGAATAATTGGCTGCGAGAAAGCTCAAGCTAGTGGGTGGATTGGAATGGGTGGTTGAAAGGGAATGTGCGGAGTATACTGGCGTTTCTGGACGAGGGATTCTTATATCTATCTGTCGGTTCTTCGTGTGTAAGAGAAAGAGGGAGAAAATTCGATTTCTGTTAGTGGTAGTAGGGGACGAAAGAATTGCAATTTGCTTGCAATTCCATGCTCTTCTTTCTCGCTATGAAGATGAAATTGTCTTTCTAGCACCGAATCGAGGAATTTCACATTTTCAAAAGTATGCCTACTGTGAGTCTATAAAATAAGTGTTTGCTGCAACGCAAGTATGTGAGTCGATTGTGGGGGGAATCAATTTTGAGATTACTTTTACTAATTCTATTCTACCTAATGTCGTTTCCTTGAATTGACATTCTTGCCCGCTCCAACTTTTGGTCTTCCACCAGCTCTTCCACGATCTCCCGTCAAGATACTGGGTAGATAATCTTCGTCCATAAGATCCTTTTCCTTGCGCCTCTTTTCCGTTGCCATTTCTCTCACGTATTCTTTTTGATCTTCCGCCAAGATCAAATCATTACCCCATCCTCCTTTACCACCCCTTTGATATTCTTTCCATTCGCCGTCCCGGCAACTGGTTTGGGGACACTGTATACATTTCCTCTATTATTCCACTGCATGTTTTTCTTGAGATGGATTTTTACCACTCCGTCTTTATCGGTTGAGCAGGAGGTACGGAGGAGAGTAGGTTTGCCGCAGCGGGAACAGAATTGTCGGGTCATTTCTCGAGTGATGGAGAAACAGGCGTGGCATCTTAGAACCCAGGTTTTGAGCTGGCGGATGCGTTGGAGAGAGGGGGAGAGGAGGTTGAGGTTCATGCGTAACATGACGTTTTGCATGGCGTAATCGGTGGTGATGGTTGCTACTTGGATGGTTTTGGATTCTTCTTGGGGGGAGAAGGAGGAGTTTGTGTCTTTTTGTTGGTGCTTTTTTAGGTTGGAGGGGGTGATCCAGCCTTCGCCGTCGGACTCGGCGTCGGATTCGGAGGCGGGAACTTCTTCTATTGTTTCTGGAATGGTTTCGGGTTCTGTTGTGGAAGTTGGTTCTTGGGTTTGTTCTTCTGTGACTCCATCCTCTACTGGTTTCTCTGCGCTCTCTGCCTCATCGGCTGTTGATATATGGGTAGCCTCTAATGCCTCCTCAATGGGCTTTGTCTCCACTTTAGATTCTTCTGTTGCTTGAGGTATTGATGTTCCCCATGCGCCTCTGGTTTCGATTGCTGGTTGCGCCGCGGCATCTGTAGATGTTTGTGGTGCTTCTGTGGCATCGGCAGGTCTTTCGCCGCTTAAAGATGCGGGAGGTGCTCCATTTAATCTCTTTTGTCCTGGTACACTTCGTAGTCTCCAATCTCCGTGATTTCGTTCACATTCAAGCTCATATGCTAAAGCCATCAAATGAATATCTTGTCTGCTGAGTACTTCCAAATCACCCGTTTTCCGCGCGAATTCAGTTATAACTTTAATGCTAGCTGATCTAGGCGCTCTTAATTTGAGAAAAGGTAACAATGTGGTCTCGAATCTGGCTCTTGTAACGGCATCTTTGATTTCGTCGATAACGAGGGGGATTGTATAAAGGTTTTCTGCTTGGCCAAGAAGCGTAGAGACTGAAGGGTCATTCTTAATAATTGGTCCTGCGTCAATGATAAGACTATGTATGGGTTTGGTAGTATTTGTAGCCATTTTGAAGTCTACAATCTTGAGTATACTGATTCTCTGTGTAATGCAATGCAATTGTCATGGCGGGGTGTGCGATAAAGATTATCGAAAAAAATAAAATACTGCCGGGCGGTATCGATAAGCGAAAAAGATATCAAGGCACGTGATGTAATTCCCTTCTCTAGTGTTGGAGCGGAAAATTTTGTTCATCTTGAAAATTTATTCAAGAAGATTTCCTCAACTTCAACTCCAATTTTTGATATTTTTGATATTCATAGACCGTGGAGTATTTCTCTCTTTAACTACGAACTCCAAAAAATTTAATTTTGAATCCAAATTCAACAATTTCGATTCCCAAACCCCACATTTTCAACCTTTAAAATGTTCTCCAACAACTGGCGCGTTAAGCAAGACACTCCTCAAAGCCCAAGCGGCGAAGAGAGAGTATCTCCTTGGTCCTCTTCAAGAAACCGTGGAGTTGGTGGTAAGGATGGTGGTGAACGACCATCTCAAGGCCAGGGGAGATTTTCTCGAAACGAGGCAGGTGACTCGCCAAGAAAACCTTCACAACTCACAGAGTCGGACAAGGCTATTGAGGAAGGTCGTCGCATTTACGTTGGTAACTTAAGTTATGATACCACTCCAGAGGATATTGAAACCATTTTCCAAGATGTTCCACGTGAATCTCGAACTGTTCATATGTCCATCGATTCCATGACAAAGCGCAACCCTGGTTACTGTTTCGTTACTTTCACCACCAAGGACATGGCTGAGGAGGCTTTGAATCGTTATGATGGTCAAGAATTCAAGAACCGTACACTCAGAGTTAAGCCTGGTGTAAGATCAGACCGTGAGTGAATCTCCAAGCATTGAATTTTACCTGTCTATAAATTTACACAGCAATCCCTTAAAACTATCACTGACAAAATACAGGCAGCACTCGTCCACAAGGAAGCTCTTCAGAGACTCCTCTCTACACAAATGACCGCTGGAAGAGCTCTGACAGAGAAACTTCTCAGCGTCCAGAACGTCAAGTAGACTCTTCTTCCCAGGATGGTCGAAGACTTTACGTTGGAGGACTACCAAGAATTGATGATCAAGAAACAGCAAACCGCAAGATCAGAGAAATCTTTGAAGGTTTTGATGTTGAAGTTGTTAGCAAGTTGATCTCTCCACACCCTTCCAAGGTTGAGGAAGGTGGCAACCACTATTACTGTTTCGTTGATCTTGCCAACAATACTCAAGTCAATGATGCAGTTAAGATGTTCGATGGCAATGAGTGGGGTCTTAAAGTCAGTCGTGCATCCGGAGGAGCCTCAGGAAAAGTTGTTGAGAAGCAAAGAATCTATGTCGGTGGTTTACCAGATTTCGGAGACGAGGCAGCAACCGAGGCAGAGATTAGAGAGCTTTTCAGCGAGTATACCGTTAAGTGGGTCAGCAAGTTGTGCTCCCCAAGAGAGCCAAGAGAAGGCAATAGCCATTTCTGCTTCGTTGAATTACAAGATAGCCAAGAAGCTGATGGAGCTATTGTCAACTTGGATTGGTCTGAGAAATGGGGTGGAAAGATCAGAGTCAAGCCTAGTTTGTCCAACGCTCAAACAAAACAAGGAGAGACCCCAACCAGAGGATGGAGAGGAAAGAGCGACAGAGAGTAAGCATGATATGGTATTATCCAATCAGATATACCGACCTTAGAAAGTTTGCATACCTCGCGCTTTAGTTATGATATGTATTAGCGATTTGCATATATCAAACGACTGCTAATGGGACATTTGACGTCATATCCACATATCTTGAGTAACAAGATCTGTCAATGGCTAGGATACACTGGCATAAATATTAGTTTCATACCCAGCTGCGGCTGTAATTTGCTGGATGCAAATAGGCTAGCAGGCGATACCCAATCTGAATACAAATACATTTAAATTACTTTTCCGTTTCATGTACCTGAGTGATTGATGGACAACACTGTCTCAAGAACATTTTGAAAAAGTTCCTTTGTAGTTCCTCCACATTCTTGAACACCATTTCCTTGACGAGTGTTGATTTCATCCAGTCTTCACGGCGGTATTTTTGGAACTTTATATAGTGTGATTGCAAATCTTTTACCAAGTCATTTCCTTTTCGCGGCTCTGGTATTCCAACACTTCAAGCTATTTCAAGGAAGAGCATTCCATTCGCAACCTTCAAGGTATTTTCTTATCATATAGTTACTGGGAGAAGAATAAAGTTAAGCGACTCCTTCCTTGTACAGGCAATGGAGGGTTATTTTCCAGCATGTATGCATGGCAATTCATTCCAATGATCAACTCTCTTTTTCTTTCCCACATACCATATTCACACTCCAAATATTGGGATCATTTCCGATTGCGTATTGATACTCTCAACATTCTTGCAATCGCCAAGCGGAATTCATTGTCTACGAGCACATGTTGGCGCACCCTCACTTTCTTCCATTGACATGGAACTTTAGTGCGATCATTGTTTTTCTTTTGCTTGTGAATGTTGCGCTCCTCAAAGTCTTGATCGAGTTAATCGAAATTTACTCTTGGGTTTTCGTCAGGTTTGAGATCAAGGCCAAGGGCGGAGGCATTTTGACGAAGAATCCCCATCACCCAATGAATCCGGACTTGCCTGTTAGGATGTTGTGAATAACAATGGATCTTGACAAGGATATCCCGCTGGTTTACGGTTTGATCCAAGTGAAACGTACTGTCCTGCATACGAAATTGGTTCTCCAGATGATAACGATCTTTCGAACTCGCATTTTGAAGGGATCGAAGCTGAATATTTTCAACATCATACATCTGAGTCCACGTATTATATAGAGCAAGATTACACGCAGCTTGGCTCACCACCATTAGGACAGTCTCCATCAGCCTGTGCATTTGCCAACTGACTTGCCAATACACATGGTTCCTCGGCAAAATTAGAGGACCTAAGAGACAGTATATTCAGAATCATCGTCCCAAGGTAACTACTTAACACATCCGGCCTCTAACTCCCGCCTGCTACATCCAATAATCCCATTACAAAGACACGATCGGAAATCACTTATTTCGAGATCATAGATCTATTGCCTAACTTTTCTCTCGACACATCTAAAAATTCCTTCATAAGTTCATCATTCCAAGACTTACCTCACAAACTCAAAATTTAAAATCTCACCCATCGTTTATCAACCTAACAGACTCAGTTCCTCGCTGGGGGAGTTTCTTAATTCTTCCGTCACAGAAACTCCAGACGACTGACTAGTTGTGATTATTGTATGACTGATTCTGAGCAGGACTCTCGGTAACCGATGAGTATATGATTCGCTTGTCTTTAATCAGTGACTAGCATTATTTAGCGATGTATAGGCATGTCCAGCAGAAGTACCAATGTACACATCATCTCCAAAACCCCAATCCGAAGAGAAAATCCCAAAATTCCTCACCACAAAATATAGCCCTTAGTTACCAAACAAACTCCTCTACAACATCCAGATACTTTTCTTGGGGATATCCTGCCCGGTAATTTGTAGGAAAAAATAGACATACCCCGCGCTCTCAATTGGATGATGTCAATTCCACTGACTTCAATATGACCTCGCTTCAGTAGGTGTACCGAATACAGTACCCGTGGTACTTTGCTGCTATTCTGTGGGGTAACATCACATGGGAACGATTCAGCATATTGTTCTTGCGATGCTGGAATGAGGCGGAGATCATATATTGTTACACACATGCAGATTTCTTAGGGTTGTTTTAGGGTATAGGGGAGCGTTTGTGTGTGGTGAGGAAGATGTAGGGAAATACTTGGTTAGTATGGTAAGTAGGTAGGTGAAATTGACGCGGAAGTTAGTTCTTCACGCTATCTTAGTTGTCTCTAGAGAATTTGGGTTGGTCTGGAGGGCGTTCATTAGTATGAGCATGAGAATCATTGGGAGGAGTTATAGTTAGGGGTATAGTTCCTATTCTGTCGGAGTGTCAAATACTTCAAATCATCATCTTCGAAATCACAATTCATGCATGTTTCATAAATTGTCTTAAAGAGGCAGTTAATAGTAATGTTTTCTGGTGCAGTCGTTATATGTCATACTTCATATTTCATGACACGTATCTTAAAACCTCATATGTATGCATCTAACTCAACCTGCAAAGAATTCTTCATGCCCCAAATATTTGAGACAGCAATCAATTTGCAAACTGAATTATGATGTGACCTTCTTCCGTTCCTGACTCCCATCCCGATTTTTCCGTTCCTGTCTAAACCCCCCTAGACGTTGTTTTTCTCCATTACCGCCTATCATAGATTCACAACCTTAGTTAGCCTCCATCCCCTCCTTCGCAACCCCCAAAACATCCCACACCAAGCCAGATAGCTCCCTCAGCCCCATCCCCAACTTCTCCGCATAAACTTCGCCCAATCCACTAGCATCCTTTCCCCTAGCCCAATTTCTTAACGTCCTCCCTACCTCTCCATCTCCCCTCTTCTCCTGAATACTCTCCACATCTGCAATATCCAACTCCACCCCCTTCATAACCCCGCTTTGTTTTCCCCAGCACCTATCTCCTGTCTCTCTCAATCCATACATAACCAACTGACACGTACTGATCCAATCGATATTCTTTAGTACCCCTTGCCTTCCCCCATTCAGGTTCTCTGTCTCCCATTTCTCAAATTCTTCTGGATCCAAGCTTGCCAGAAATTTACACAATCGTTGTAATGCTAGTATTCTAGTAACACGTTGCGGATGATATGGACTTGGGTAATTAATGGGATCGGCATGAATGATCAAGAAAATTAGTACGACAAGCGCAGAGATATAGTCCGTTTTTTCTAGATAAATAAGATAGATTTCATTAAGGATTGTTGGTAAAGGTTGTTGCGCGTAACGTTGTAAGGGGATGAAATCATTCAAATTCCCTAGAGATTTTTTGAGGAACTCGAGACGTCGGTCAATATTCTGGTAGATTTTATGAACATTTGAGATTGTGGCTTCGATATGTCGTAATACATGGAGTAGAGAGAAGAGCCTGGTGATCGTCTCTGGATTTTCGTCTGCTACTCTAGCCTTTGCAAACTTGTAAGTTTCTTGGAAAGCGACAAGCTTATCAAGTACAGGCGTTGAAATCATGGGATGATCCACGAGATCACCATAAATACTTTGGAATACTGTACAGCGAGAACAAAGGCATTGAAAAAACCAAGTTTTAGCCAAGGCTTCTCGACGAACTTCCCGTCGTTGTGTCTCGTCGATATAAGATATGAATATTTGCTCTCCTTTTGCGATAGGGGAGAGAGCTCGAAGGGTAGCATGCTTTCCATCGAATGTTATAGCTGCGTTTGGATGGCAGCTATGGTTGGCGCGTGCCAGCAGGGGATCAAGACATAGTCCAATTGGACCATTGCCGATATTAGATTCGACACGAAACCCATTAGTAGAGAGCTGCAGGTCTATTTTAGCAAAGATAAAAATCAGAGATAGAGGATTGTACTTACCCGACAGAGAGACTCAAGAGCATATTTGACAAATTCTGGTTTTTGTTGTAGAAGATTCACTACAGCATGGGCTTGTAATGATATATCATCCCATTTTGATTGGACGCTCCTGAGGTCGTCCTCGTGAGATGCAAGGTCCATTAAGGGTGAATCTTTTGCCAGTGCTGCCGGGTTGCTAACCAATTGGATGGTACCACGCACAGCTGTAGGAAGCATCTTGTTCAAAGAGTTCCCAAGACTTTGTGATTGGATGGCCTTGCATCGTTTCTCATGATGTGAGCGGTCTAGATCTTCGCATTTTTTATCGCAGTAATTCACTGCTTTGCAGCCAATACAGTTCACGGTTGCTTTCTTCAACTGACAATTTGAATAAGCACAGGCAGTGTTTGTTACGGCTTGAGCGCTGATCTGTGATCTAGAATGTTCAAATGGCTTTCTTGATTGAAAAAGGTCACATTCTGCTCCGTGGGAACCCTCGGAATTCAGTGACAGCTTTTCGCAATCATCACAACAAAAATTGACAACACCGCAACTTGAGCAGGGCTGTAGCTCCACTCCCTCTCCTGCTTCTAGAAAACAATTGGCGCACACTCGATGCAGTGCCTGATTCTCGGCAATCAATAAAAGGGGATTTTGTATGACAATGATAGAATCTCCAGAATTTAAATCAACTGTGGAAAAAAGGCCATTTCCCAGGTCTTTTGCCGCGCCAATTATTGTATAGTTTATGTCCATTTGACTGGATTGTGGTTTTTTATGGGGTACGATTCTTGATGGACTTGGATGTGCTTTTTGAGTGATGGTGGAATCTGGCTGACCCATTTTGAATTGACCTTTGATCTAGTCTAAATATGGTTTGGTGCTTCCGATCTAAACCCCGCAACTGCATAGAGAAAGAAGGACCCAATTCCTCATCAAGAATCCTAAAGACATGGCGTTGAACAGATCCACCGTCCACGGGCGACTTTTATTCTTTTACCATTATAGACCACAATTCTTGGTCTTCAACTGAAGGGCCAATGTTCTAAAAGGTAAGATTCTCGAAAGGAATTAGGATTTGAATAAATTGAATTCACATCTTGCCTATTTGTTACCTTATCGCTTAGATAGCAAAACAGACGATTGGTTGACTGCAATATACAATACTACTTTGGAAATCATTGTAAATTCC